AAGGGCAAAGGCGAATTCAAATTTCAGCATAGACGTTGGCAAAAACAAAACCACCAAAGAACATTTAGTCGGTGTGTTAAGTGGTTGTGTTTGCGAGATTTTGGTGCATTTTTAACAATGCCACAGTGCTACACTTGCTTGGTGCTGGGAGATGCCTTTATTTGACCGAAACGCCCTCATCCGGCTGTGCTCGTAAACGGGTCATTGAAATTCTGCTCCTGGTTTCGTTTTCGCCCAATCGGCGATCATGTTAGCATGTGCCGGGGCCAAATCAGAGGCACAGTGGAGAAAGTTGTGTGAGGAGGGTAAGTGAAGATTGCCATCACCAAATTAGTGTGTTTCGGGAACAGCATTACTGTTCACCGCCCTACGCAGTGTTCTAGAGGTGCTGCCTTTTGATTCCGTCTGCGTCCATAACAGAGTTTTTGCCAGCCTTCTTTTTTTCCCACAAGGCTAAAATTCAGTTTGAACCTCTTAACTAAAACAATTGTTGTGCAATCTTTTCCGATTGTGCAGTCTTTTGCCCTTGAATCTGTTCCAAGTCACCTTCTAGGAAGTTCTTCATATGCGGCGAATGAATAAAAATATGCCATTGCTAAATAGTTTTACGAAGTATATTATTTTAAGCTTAGCAAAATGCTTTATGATATGTTTGCATCAAAAAGTCCTCTCCCACTTGATAATGTTGCTCCCTAGGAGGTCAAAATCTCTGTGCTTCCATTGACCAATCAGAAAGGAGGTTGCTTATAATTGGTGGGGGGACAGATTTTTAAACAGCCATCACCCTGTCATTGCACCACTTCACCCCAACATGGCGTCATCACATTTCCTCTCTATCGTCGGTATTTGTGCCTTCCTCTACATTCAAACACTTGTAAGTGCAGTACCAAATCCCCGAAGTCTCTACAGGGAGGCTCTACACGACTGGATAGATGGGTTGGATGACGTGGAGAGCGAGGATAAACTGAAATTCTCTCGAGTAGCTCGTATGCCAACAGATTTCTCCTTCAACAGTGATCTTGCCTTACTGCGACGCATGATAAATGAGAATCGACCTCATGGGTACAAGTTGTTGGCATTTGGAAAGTGAGACGCATACACAATGAACCACCTTCTCCCCTTTCCACTTCCTATGTTATTCATACTTAGCTCTCTGTGAGTGCAAGTGTGCTTTAGTATGCCCTTGAACAACACAATACCCTACTTTATGTTCTTATTATTAACTTCTGTCCATTCCCTTGTCTTGCATCCCTAGGCAGGACAGTTGCAAAGTGTGATGCAATGTGAATAAAGGTATCATTCACATTCGGCATTTGGTTTTAAGGCCTTTGGGCACGTGTAGTACCAACTTCAATTAGGTGGACAACAATCCTGCCGACGCAACCTCTGCTCGGTGAAAGTTGGCTTTCTGTGCCTCGTTGCATAAGTTATAGGGCAAGCTGTAAGGAAGGCGGTAAGACTCCACCGACATTTCGTAATACAAAATAAGGAATTAGCATATTGTGGAACCATGAAATACGGTTTTTTTTTCTTCGTTAAAATTTACTGCCTTTAGCTTGAAGCCCCCTTTTTTCGTGAAATGTAACGATAATGGATATTTTTAAATGAAATTTTAAAATAAAAAGTAGAAAATTGAAACCTGACACGCACCGAAACGCGGCGATTATCCTCCCAGCTCAAACAATAAAAAAATGCTAATAAAAATGTGCGATGGCGTCCGTTGCTCCTCTGGATCGACCAAACACACCAATAGAAGTGGAAGTACTCACCAAAGTTTAAAGTCTAAACAAATTTTAATAAAAATTGAGTAGAGTAAATGTCAAGACGTTGCTCGACGCCTTTGTCTCAAAAAAAAAAGCAAAAAACTGAAAGAGCAACAGGATGAAAAAGTGAACACTGACAATGGGAAGTGAGAGCAAAGTTTTGGCTCCCCTTTGCCCTCCCCTCCCCTCCTCCTCCCCTCTCCTCCTCCTCCTCTTCCATGGCATTTACTTTAATTCACTCCTTTTATGCACATAAAATTATTCAACTAACAAAACGCATACCAAAACCCTCCCCCGCCCCTCTCCACCCCTACTATCTTGATAACTATGCATTTTTTTTTCCCTACGGAAGGACAGTTGACCTCTCACCACCCAAAGTGTTGAAGTGTGGTTGAGTGCATTTCTTGCCTCCCCTACTTTCTCCCAAGTTAAATAAGGCTTGCGTCTGTGGTCATTTAAATGCTCATTGTGATGGTCATAACGCATTTGAATAAGCATATTTGTTGACATTCTATTCCGTGGTAAAGTCATTATCATTGCCGCTGTATGATAAATTATGGATGGAGTGTTTCCGTTGGTAGCGGATATTGTCTCAACTCAAGAGCAATATTTAATTCCGTACAAACAACCGATTACTAGCAAGGGGGAGAGAGAGAGAGTAAAACAAAAGTGCTTTCAAGTAGAGTGAAGGTGATTAATTGTAGTACAAAAAGAGCCATTCTAATGCATTTCATGTGCAACATACATCGTCCCCCTACAGGGGGTCTGTCTAGACGTGTGTTGAATCGAAAATGCCATTGAGACGTGTCTATATTTGTCCCAAAGAGTCTCCATCATTGCCGCATGCTTTGTTGGGCTTTATAACTACTCCAAGCACCACATCCTTGACAGAGTCTTTCGCAATGGCATAGTCGAAATGATGCCTCAATGCACCACTTTCCTTTCTATCTTGCGATTGGTTGGAACGTCTGGAAAAACTCAAAGATACGAAAACACAAGTGCATTTGAAAGGAGGAAGAGAGAATCTTGCAAACTAA